AGGTAAATCTGAGGAATTTGCGGTATTTGGGATGGATAGGAATATGCAAATACGCCTCTGTGAGGTCTATTGAGGATAGGAGGTCTCCCTTCCTGATACTGGCTAGGATGGACTTTAGGGACTGCATTTTGAACCTCCTGTAGGTTACATAATAATTTAGACCCTTTAGGTCAGTGGTTCTCAACCTTTCTAATGCCGTGACCCCATAATACAGTTCCCCATGTTGTGGTGACCCCAGGGACATGGCCACCGAGTGGGTGTGGCCACTGAGTGGGGTGTGGCCACTGAGTGGGCGTGGCTACCGAGTGGGCATGGCCACTGAGTGGGCGTGGCTGCTGAGTGGGCGTGGCTACCGAGTGGGCATGGCCGCCAAGTGGCCACCGCGGGTCCCATCGCCGCAGCAGATGCACAGCTGCCCTTCCTCTTCCTTGACGCAATCTTTCGCCTGCCCCAGTGACTCCCTCCCCTTTCTGGGGTCCAGGCATACCCTCCGGAGCCCCGGTGTTTACTGACTGCAGGAAGCACAGGGTGCCCACGTAATCCTGCTCGGTTGAGGACACAGAGGTGAAGATGCAGCTGGCGGTCTGTATCCTTTGCCGGTTCCAAAGGGAGAGCACTGGTGCCCGGGGCCACTGCCCCCGCCGCCGCTGCCACCGACGGCTCAGATACCGACTGCACTTCCATGGCTCCTGCCTGCCTCAGCTTCCAGATCAATCCGACCCCACTTTCCTCACTCCGTGGCCGGCTTTAGGCGCCCTCCATCCCCGAGGCGCATGCCAAACGCACCACAAGGATCGAGTCTCTCGAGCTTGACCTACCAGCAGGAGCGCCGCGCAGGGACATGGCGAGGAGGCGGAGTCAGCAGCTAGGAGCAGAGCACAAACAGCGCTGAATGGAGAGAAGTGTTTCTCTCCATTCAGCGCTGTTTGCGCTCTGCTCCTCATAGCCGCCGCCGCCTCACCAGGTCCCTGCGCAGCGCTCCTGCTGGTAGGTCAAGCTCGAGAGACTCGATCCTTGTGGTGCGTTTGGCGTGCGCCTCGGGGATGAAGGGCGCCTAAAGCCAAGCGGGGAGTGGAGCATGCGCCAGCAGGAGCGCCGCGCTGGGACCTGGCGAGGAGGCAGCGGCGGCTACGAGGAGCAGAGCGCAAACAGCGCTGAATGGAGAGAAACACTTCTCTCCATTCAGGGCTGTTTGCGCTCTGCTCCTCGTGGCCACCGCTGCCACCTCCTCGCCATGTACCAGCGCGGCGCTCCTGCTGGTGCACGCTCCACTCCCCACTCGGCTTTAGGCGCCCTCCATCTCCGAGAGAGACTCGATCCTTTTGGTGCGTTTGGCGTGCGCCTCGGGGATGGAGGGTGCCTAAAGCCGAGCGGGGAGTGGAGCATGCGCCAGCAGGAGCGCCGCGCTGGGACATGGCGAGGAGGTGGCGGCGGTGGCCACGAGGAGCAGAGCGCAAACAGTGGTGAATGGAGAGAAGTGTTTCTCTCCATTCAGCGCTGTTTGCGCTCTGCTCCTCGTAGCCGCCGCCGCCTCGCCATGTCCCAGCACGGCGCTCCTGCTGGTAGGTCGAGCTCGAGAGACTCGATCCTTGTGATGCGTTTGGCGTGCGCCTCGGGGATGGAGGGCGCCTAAAGCCGAGCGGGGAGTGGAGCGTGCGCCAGTAGGAGAACCGCGCTGGGACATGGCGAGGAGGCGGCGTCGGTGGCTACAAGGAGCAGAGTGCAAAGAGCGCTGAATGGAGAGAAGCAAGTGGTGAGTGGAGCGCACGAAGGGACTTGACCAGGGCAGCGGGCGGAGGGGAGGGTCGGCTCCGGAGGCGGAGGTGGCGCTCAGACGTGAGGGAGGGGGTGGTGGCGAGATGAGCCCAAAACAGTAGTCTGGAGAGCGCAGCAGGCGACGAGGGGAGAGGCCGGAACAAAGAGAGAAGCGGCTGGGCAGCAGGGAAAATGAGGGGATTTCTATGATACAATGAAAAAAAAAACAAAAAACCTTGCCTTGGCACAATGGGAAATAGTGAGAAATTGATGCACAAAAGTAATTTGGGGCTCATGTTGCTTTGCGATCCTTGACGACTTAGAGAGATAAGTATGCAAGAATTTTTGATTCATTTATTTAACTTTAACAAAACGAACTACAAACTTAAACTCCACTGAAATAATTAGAGAGTACCCGTATACGCCGGAAAATACGGTACATATATTCCTCTGCCAAGCAGAGGAAGCTCAGCGGCAGGCCAGAGAGGAAACTTACTGTTTTGAGTTGTTTTCTCTCTTGCTTTCCACTGTTTGCTCTCTCTTGCTTGTCCTCTGTATTGCTTTCCTCCACGTGTTCCGAAACCGAAACTTCCTAACTTTAAATAGAAAAAAGCTGCGCATGCGCAAGGAGGAGGGAGGCAGGAACGGCACTTTCTATATAGCCAAATAAGGAAGTAGAACAGTTAGAAAAGGGAAAATAATGGCGGACAGCGGGGTTTGGCGACCCCCGTGAAATGGTCGATCGACCCCAAATGGGGTCGCGACCCATAGGTTGAGAACTGCTGCTTTAGGTCCAGTATCGCCCTCCATCCTCCTGATGTCTTTGGGATCACAAAGAGGATGGAGCAGAATCCTTTCCTTTCCTCTTCCTTTGGTACCCTTTCTATGGCCTGAATTGACAAAAGGTGTGCAATGGCCGAGGTTACCAACCTTGCTTTGGATGTCTTTCTGGAAATGGGGCACCTGATGAAGCGGTTTGGTGGGGGAGAGTAAAACTCTAAGGTGAGGCCATGTCTGACTGTTTCCAATACCCAGGCGTCAGTGGTGGTCTGCTCCCAGACCCCGATGAAGTTCCCTAACTGACCCCCTATGGGAGAGTCTTGCCTGGCGTCACTTGGAACATTTAAAGGGTCCCGATTCCCTGAAGGGACGCCTGGATTGGAATTGGCCTCTGGCTCCCGTGTTTGGGCGATCCTGGGAACGATCCTGTCTCGAATAGAAAGATCGTGAGCCTCTAGACCAGTCCCAGGATTGCCCTGATCGAAAGGGCTGTCTCCAGTCCCAGGAGTTTCCTGGACGGAAACCTTGTCTCCGGAATTCTTGAGTGCCTCTCCTATCTAGTTTCTTTGATGGGTGGACTAGAATCTTTCTTTTGTCCCTGCTTTCACTTACATGTGGATCCAAAATGGATCCAAACAAGAGTGACCCACAGTACTTGGAGGTTGATAGACGCCACTTGGCTTTTAGGTCTGTTTTCCAATTTTTGAGCCACAGTAGTCTGCGAGAGGCTACCGTGGCAGCAATTGACCTTGCTGCATACTTGGTTGTGTGAAGTGAGGCGTCAGCCATAAATTGTGAGGCAGCCAGTATTTTGGCCAAAGTTTGGTGAGTTCTGACCTGATCAGGAGGTACAGTGGTTTGCAGCTTGCGAAGCCACATAATACAGGCCCTGGCGAAGAATGACAAGGAAGTTGCCGCCTTGGCCGCCCAGGCTGCGGCCATGTGGGAGCGATGGAGGGAGTGCTCGAATTTCTTGTCTTCTGGTTTTAAGGCCTCCGCCATGTCTCCTGGAATTGCAGAAGTGGAGAATAATGAAATTAGGGGATTATCTACTGTGGGGACATCTAGCATGTTGGAAAAGGAAGGAGCCACATTGAATAAATTCCTCTCCACGCTGTTAGGTGTAGGTGGTGTTGCTAGGGAAAACCATTGCTCCTCTACAGAGGTGCAGAAAACCTCGGGACAAGGGATGTACTTGTCCTGTGCTACTTTTTTTGGCAAAAAGGGGGTTCGCCTCCTTACTTGTGGAAGGATTTTCCTCCTGAACAGAGGTCAGATTGACTGTAGAAACTGCCTTAATTAAAAGTGATTTGAGAAGAGCTGGATCAAAGAGGCCAGAGTTTGTTGTCTGCTCAGGAGTGGTCCCCTCATCCTCCGAAAGGGGCATGTCAGTCATGTCCAGGTCTATTGATTCCCCCTCTCCTATTTGAGAGGAGGTCTCAGAAATATTTGTAGCTGGAGCCTTGTTTCATCCCTTAAGGGATGGTTGAAAGGCTACTTGTCCTTTAGAGGCCATAAACTGGGAAAAGGCATCCTACATGAATGCCTGAAATTGGGCAGACCATATGTCCCCCTGAGCTCTGTTATTAGACGCAGCTACAGTGGGTGTATGGGCTGGGGAGGATGCTGGTGAAGAGGAGTGGGAGGAATCCATCTGTTCGGTTTCCCCCAGAGGAGACCAAGTTCGAAGGACTTCCTGGGAAGTAGGTTCTGGTATAGGGGCCTCCAATGGGGCAGGGGAAACCATGTTTGCCTCTTTGGATCTGATTCTCTGGGCCCTGGAGAATTGTCTTTCTAGCGCCAAATGTCTCCTCGAGGCCTCTCGCTCAGCTGTTTTGGAGGGTCCCCTCTGGGTAATGTGCTTTGTTTTGGCCTTCTTCTTCCCCCCCACATGAGATTCTGTGGATCTGTGCTTTTGTTGTTGTTGGGAGGGGCAGTTGGGGACCCTGTATAGCTGAATGCGAGACATTGTCTGCCATTGTGGCCAGGTACCCCGAGTAGGCAATACCTGGAGTGGGGAAAAAAAACTGCACGCAGATCAGTTGCAGATAATTGAGGCCTGCAAGCCTTATTCTGCATAGAAACAATGGCTGGACAGACAGGTTCCTTTTGAAAGGAAGGATCCTGTAGGGCAGTGACTAAAGGTCACACTAAGGAACACTGGAACACTGGAACAAATTCAAATTTTTCTCCCTCTCCTCCACCAAGTGCAATGGATGCAATGTACCCAGGCTTATTATAAGGATAACTTGTTGGAGTAATGAATATTTTTCCCCAATATGTGGCTGTTAAAACAGACCACAGGGTGTAACGATAAGGTATCTCTCACATTCCTTCTCTACCCCTCTCTCTCCTTCTTTCTTTCTTTCTTTCTTTTTTTTAAATTATATTGTAAAATATATAAACTGTTGGAAAAACCTCCGAGTGGATGACTCACCTAAAATGGAGGTTTCAGCAAGTACACCCAAAATGGCTTCTGAACTGAAGGCCACGCCTTCCAACTGATAACTGCCAAAAGAACCACGAGGCTCAAAATGGCGATTTTTGCCCCAACGGGAGCTCTGCCGGCTGAGGTAAATAGTGGAGTGGTCAGAAAAGGCGTGAATCTACGCGTTGGGCCCCCCCGGACAGCGCGGCTTTCCCTAGCGACTCTGGGTTGCCGCGGGCTAAACAATGCAGCCAAAAACCCAAGGAGGGGGGTGTTTCTGAAGTTATTTGGAGATCTTTTGCCTCCCTGTATTGCCCTCTGGAGAACTGCGGCTCTAACGGCTGTTCGGGCCTCGGAGCCTTGCGCGCCTCAGCTGATCAGAAAGAGGAGCGCGGCAAGCGCTCCCAACAACTCCGGCTGTTCCCCGCAACTAAGGCCCATTGTTAAGTAACTGTGGCCTGTCGTTAGTACTTTCGTGGGATACTCTCACCACTCTGCGGAAAAAAGCCCTCAGGGAACGGAGATCTGTCGGGCGGCTCAGAGCTCCGAGCCAGAAGTTGAGATCGACTCCCTGTGAATTCTTTGGCCAATTTTGCAATTTGGCAGAGAGAGAAGAGGATTTTATCTCTAATTTTGCAGTTATGTCAGGAGCTAAATTCTTTGCTGTTAACGGGCTTGAGACTAAGTCAAAACTGGAGTCACGCCCAAAGGAGGGGTGTGGCCAAAAGTTTGACCTAGTCTGTCGGGCAGGAAGGCTGTCATGAAACACATCCAGTGGACTCTACAGCCATCCTGCTGGAGAAAAGCTGTTACTAATAAAGACTATTGTGTTCAAGATGAGCCTCCTCACTCTTCATTACTCTCAGGACATAACAAGGTGGGTATTTATTTCCTTTTTCCTTAGCTTGCCATTGGATTTTTTTTTTTTTTTGCAATCTCTTATTATTGCCATGTTTTTACTAGCTCAGCAAAAATGATAGTTTGGTCATAACGGAAGCTTATGTACACATTCCGATCCTTCCCGAGCACCGCAAATTTCTCTGGTTTTGTTACGCGCACCGGCATTTTCAGTACAAAGCACTCCCGTTTGGCCTTTCCTCGGCCGCACGGGTGTTCACGAAGATCTTAGCGGTAGTATCTGCCCATCTGAGAATGATTCCTGTGCACGTTCAATGCTATCTGGACAATATCCTTATCCAGTCCCACTCCTTCTGCTCGGCCCAGTCGGACCTGGCACTCACCATCAGGACTCTTCAGGTTCACGGATTCTCCATGAACTTCCAAAAGAGCCACATGGTCCCTGCAAATCGCCCCCTTTGAGTCATAGACTCAAATCTTTGTGAGGTCTTCCTTTCCCAGGAACGCCGGGACAGCATCCGGACCCTCATATGCCGGGTTCGAAGGGAGAGAGTAGTTCCTTTAGTCCAGCTGTCACAGTTGCTGGGGAAGATGGTCTCCTATATGGGGATCATTCCATGGGCCAAGTTGCATTCCAGAGAGCTTCAGTGATTCCTCTCCCCTTTCAGAAGCTGAATATGAGCTCTTCCAACAGGAGAATAAGGGTCCCACACTGGACATTGTTGTCCCTTCTGTGGTGGACCTCCCTGGCACTGATCAAGGGATCCTTCTTCAAAGAGCCAGCCAGGCTCACCTTGACCACAGACGCCAGTTTATTTGGCTGGGGGGTTCACCTCCAGTCGCAATTGGCCCAGGATCGATGGTCCCATTCGATCTTGGCCACAGTATAAACTGGCTAGAATTCAGGGCCATTCATCTCGCCCTTCTCCACCATGGTAGCAGGACAACATGTCCTAGTATTAACAGACAGCATGGCGGCAAAGGCACATGTAAACAGGCAGGAAGGGACCGATCCAAGTTCCTTATGCTTGAAGCCCACAGTTTGAACTGTTGGGCAGAAGCAAATCTTGGCTCCCTCAAGGCAGAGCATATATCGGGGGAGGCGAACCAACAAGCAGATTCCCTGAGCAGATCTACGGTGGACCACTAAGAGTGGTGCTTGGACCCAGCTATTCAGGGAGATCTCGGACAGATTCGGTCAGCCCCAGTTGGACCTGTTTACCTCCCCGACCAACTCCCATCTACCCAGGTACTTCACCAGATTCCCATCCCCAGGGGCAGAGGAAATGGACACTTCACAGCAGGTGGCCCAGGAAGTTGCTGTACCTATTCCCTCCCCTCCCACTGATTCTGGCAACCATACACAAGTTGCACCTTTCTCAAGGGGGCAATGAATGCTAGACCACCAGAAGTTCGTCGCTACCCCTTTTGGGACCTGCCACAGGTTCTACAAGCTCTAATTTCAACGCCATTTGAACCCATCACGTCTTGTTCCTTAAGACTCCTTTCACTGAAAGTGGCATTCCTGATTGCAGTTACGTCAGCTAGACATATTTTGGAGCTGGCTGCCCTTTCTGTTAGGAATGACCTGTGCACCTTTCATGAGGACATGGTGGTCCTTCGCTTAGATCCATCCTTCATTCCGAAGGTCAACACCTGGTTTCATAGGACCCAAGAAGTGGTACTTCCCAATTTTTGCCCCAATCCATCCCATAGGCTGCAAAGAAAGTGGCATAAACTGGACGTATGCAGGGCCCTGCGTTGTTACGTAAAACGAACCTCTGCCTTCTGCAAGTCAGAGGTCCTGTTCGTGTCCTTCCAGCCCTCACACCCCATTGTGCACAGTTGATGCTGCAGGGCACGGGCAGAGCGCGTGACCGCCATAGTGCTGCTGGGCTGTCTGGGCAACCTGTGGCAGGCCCTGGAGGCAGTGAGTGGCCCTGCAGACAGGTGGGGTGGGAGATGGGGCGGAACAGGGGCAAGGCAGGGGTTGGAGTGGGGACGGGGCCAGTTTTTGGGCACTCGGTCTCTAAGAGGTTTGCCATCACTGTCCTAGATTGTCATGTGAAAGGTAAGTGTGCAAAAGGAAAAGGAGTTAACACACACATGTACACAAACACACATGCACACAGAATCTGATTGCATAACAGAGATAAATTAGTTCACCAGTGACATACCCCTAGTTATCCTAGATTATAGTTTGCAAGTGTGCATAAATAAAGAAAAGGGTTTACACACACTCACATGGATACACATATGCATGAGCGTGTGCGCGCGAGCACACGAACATGCACACACACACAGTTTTCATAATGTTATAGTTCACTAGAGAGCTATCCCTGGTCATCCTAGATTGTGTGCAAAAGGAAAAGAAGGAGTTAACACACACACTCACAAAAAAACACACACACACACAAAATCATACACACAGAGTCTGGTTCCATCACATAGATAAATTAATATACTAGTGACATGTCCCTGATTATCCTAGATTATTGAGTGCAAGCTACGTGTGATAATGAAAGGAAGCGTTAGAACACAAACATTGGTTGGTTGTTCGTCCATTGATTTCGATGAGGACCTTGACATCTTGTGGGTTATGGGCCATCAATGATGTGTCCGTAGGTGGCTAATAAGACCAATGTTGGCACGGAATGTTCTGCCACATACTGAGGGATTGGGGATATATATTGTGTGAAATTTTTAAAACTTTTAATTAAAAAAAAACCTCCAGTGGTTTAGAAAGCTTTCTGGCTGCCCTTGAGCATGGCTTTTAAAAACAAACTGTAAAGGGGTGGGTATTTATTTCCTTTTTCCTTAGCTTTTCATTGGAAGAATAAAATAAAATTTTGCAATCTCTATCATTGCCATGTTTTTACTAGCTCAGCAAAATGACACTTTGGTCAATGTTTGCCATAGCCAAAGTTCACTTTTCTTCATGTTTCCTCTGTCCACATCTGATAAAAACGAGGGCACAGACTTTGTTTCTGACCTTCAAACAAGCAAAGCTAATGGTGAAGCCAGATTCACTCAACAATCAGGTTACCAATTAATTAATTGCAGTGATTCACTTAGCAACTGTGGCAAGAAAAGTCATAAAATGGGCAAAATTCACTTAACATTTGTCTCACTTAGCAACAGAGATTTTGGGGTCAATTGTGGTCCTGAGTTGAGGACTAGCTGCATTTTTGCTACCCAGAAAGGAAGAATCCCTTATCTGGAATTCCTCTGTCTCTTCAAAAGCCCCTTAGCGCATTTCACTAGGAGCCTCAGATCAACAAGTTTGGAAAATTGAAATGTGACATACTTCTGGTTATCCTAGATTATCATGTGCAAGCTAAGTGTGCACAAATAAAGAAAAGGGTTAACAGTTCATTTGTCCATCGAGTTCGATGAGGACCTTGACATCTTGTGGATTATGGGCCATCAACGATGTGTCCATAGGTGGCTGATAAGACCAATGTTAGCACGAAATGTTCTGCCACATACTGAACAAAGCAATGTAGACACTGTTACTTCAGCATTTACAGCTCTGGCTTTGCGGAGTGCTCGCTTTTCTTGTGCCAAGATAGTCCTTCTGTGTTCATATGTCTGGCAACCCTGGTACACCAGAGTACGCCATGTCGGTCGATCATGCGCCAGAAGTTCCCAAGAGGTGACATTAATATCCAGGGACTTGAGATAGGCTTTCAGTGTGTCTTTGTATTGCTGCTTTTGTCCCCCCTGCAATCATTTTCCTTGAGAAAGCTCACCATAGAAGAGCTGTTTAGGGGTGCAATGATCTGGCATCCTTACAACATGGCCTGCCCAACGCATCTGGGCTTTCATCAACAGAGTGTAAACTGATGATAGGCCTGCTCTGGAGAGGACATCTGTGTCTGGTATCTTATCCTGCCACCAGATCCTCAGAATTCTATGAAGGCAAGTCATGTGGAAGTATTCAGTTGCCTAATGTGCCTCCTGTACATTGTCCAGATCTCACTAGCATACATCAGGGTAGTTAACACTGCTGCCCGGTAAACTTTAAGCTTGGTAGCAAGACTTATTCCACGGCGGTCCCACATGTTAGTCCACATGTTAGTGCCAGCATGCAGTCTTGCTTAACGCTGTTAGTAACAGGGAAGGCCTCTGAGGCTCCACTATTACTCAGAACAGGAGCCACCTTGCCATCATGGAACTGCCGTACCATCAGAAAAAATCTGTTAGGGCACCCAAACTTCGACATAATGCGCCATAATCCTTCATGATTAACTGTGTCAAAAGCCTTGGTGAGATCCACGAAGGTTGTGTATAGTTCACGATTCTGCTCCTGACATTTCTTCTGGAGCTGTTGAGCTGCAAAGATCGTGTCCACCGTGTCACGCTCTTTGTGGAAACCACACTGTGTCTCAGGTAGTATACCCTGTTCCAGATGGTCAATCAGGCAATTTAGCAACACTCATGCAAAGATCTTGCCTGCAACGGAGAGAAGCGATATTCCTCTATAGTTATCGCAGACTTGTTGTTAGAGAATTTTAATTTCTCTATTGGTGAAAAATAAATCAGAAGCTCTCACAGTTGACTGCATTTAGCTGATTCAAAATAACTTCTTTATATTCATATAAAAATATTTATAATACCATACGTTCTTCTTTACAGCAACATAGCTCAATTGGAGACTTCTTTCAGAGAGATACAGAGACAAACCTGAGACTGAAAATCCAGCTCCTAACTCAATACTATTTTTGCACAGACTCAGTAGCACTTTTCACTTTCACTGTGTTACCACATGACTCTTCCTGCTCATGAATATTCCAACACTTGTTGATTTCCTTTCCTCTTGTAGAGGTGCACGATGGACGCGTCTTTCAGTTCCTGGGGTATGGAACCTTGTTTCCAAAAAGATCAGAACAATTGGGTAAGTTTTTCAACAAGCACAGCACGACCAGCCTTATAGACATCTGCTGGGATTGTGTCAGATCCTGGCGCCTTACCACTGGAACACTGACTGATGGCCTCTGATGGTAGGGCATCCAGGCTATAGCTGATATCCACCCGGGACATCCTGTCAATCGCCTCATTATTGATGGTGGATGGGCGGTTTAACACAGAGTGGAAGTGCTCAGCCCAATGCTGTAAAATCAGGGTCTTCTCAGTGATAAGAGTTGCACCACTCTAATCCAGTAAAGGAGAGCTTCCCAAGGGCTGAGGTTCATACAGGGATCTAAGGGCTTCATAGAACTGTTTGATATCGCCTCTATCAGCAAACCTCTGAATTTCATCTGCTTTGGCACTCAGCCAGGAGTCTTGCATCTTGCGGAGCTTGCTCTGTACAATCCTGCGAGTGTTTATAAAAGCATTTTTCTTTGCAGCTGATGATGGGTCATTTTGATGAGCACAGTAGAGATGGTATTTTTCAGCAAGTAAGGCCTTAATCTCTTCATTGTTCTCATCAAACCAGTCCTGCTGCTTCCTATATGAAGGTCCAAGAACCTTAAGTGCAGAAGAGTGCAAGATATCCTGGAAACATTCCCTTAGCCCATTTCACTAGGAACCTCAGATCAACAAGTTTAGAAAATTGAAATGTGGCATACTTCTGGTTATCCTAGATTATTATGTGCAAGCTAAGTGTGCGCAAATAAAGAAAAGGGTTAACACACAAACATGCATACTGTCAGAATCCAATTATATTTCATCTCTAGTTATCAAATATAGAAAACCCTAATTCTGCCTTCTCTGGATTCTGCCATAAGAGGGAGAGAAGGGGGAGAACAAAGGGGCTTTATGGCCCTCACTTCCTTCAGTATACTTCTAAGGAACTGAATGTGTGTATTGCAAAAGAACTAACCATAAGAATGGGGCCATTTTCCTTTCATGTAGTTTCTTTGAAGTCTCCATCCAGCCGGGCAGTAATGAAAAGGGGGTGGAAGTGTAATGCCTGAGACTGTCGCTGAAAGAGGGGGTTGATTGGGTGGGGCTACTGGGGAACCCCTTAAAACCTTGAATTGGAGAGCTTGGACCCCAAGTCCTGTCTAGAACGCCTGCAATCATTTTCTCTTAATAAAGGATTCCTGTTGGAAGAATTATTCCAAGAGTTCTGTCTTCTTAAGATGCAAAGTGGGGTGGGTCCTTACATTAGACAGGACTTGGGGTCCAAGTTACATTACATTAGACAGGACTTGCAAAATTAATCCACCTGGAAGGGAGACCCTTGCCGGGGGATTTTGCAAAAATTTACCATGTCAGACAATGGAGCAAGAGAGGGGGGAAACTCCCTGGAAAGAGAGCCGCTGACCCAGTTGGAACCTTGCCAGATGTTGGGATCCGAGAAGTCAGAGTCCTCAGGAGAAGAAGTGGTGGAAACACAGGACCACAAGCGTCGCCGGTCAATGGGCGTTGAAAAAAAAATGAGTGGGGAAAGGAATCAAGGAAGGTGACTCTGAGACGGGGGACCAAGAAACCAGAATGGAAGCAGGAGATGGAGAAATCCCTGCACGCAAATGAAGAGGGAGAAAGCTGGGCACCGTACTCAGACTGGATCCTAGAGAAAGCTATTGACCTGATGAAGAGAACTCTCAGCTCCCTAGGAGAGGAGAATCCTGAGCCTACGGCTGCCCCAGCTCCTGGAGCCGCAAAGGGAGACACACTGAGGGGGACGTGGAATCTGCAACCCCGGGGACATCTGCTGATCCAGTAGTCCCTAGCCCCTACTGGACCACAGATGGCAATCTGGACGGAAGACACTACCACCAACAATGGAGGTATCGATCCATTCCAAGACGTCCGCCGTTGGAGGTGAAATTCAAAGGGGAGCCAATACGCTTGGAGTTTTTCCTAACCCAAGTCCTCAGCTACATGGAGGAATACGGGCAGGACATCCCCAGCGACAAAGCCTGCATCCGGATCGTGCAGTCTGCTCTGGATGGACCGGCTGCAGATTGGGTGGTGAACTTGCATGACTCCAATGCCCCAGAACTCAGTAACTTCAACCGTTTCATGTCCTCTCTGAGAAGATGATTTGAAGACCCCCTGGCTGATCGCAAAGCCTGTGAAAGGATAAAAATGATGAGGCAAGGCAAATGCCCGGTGGCTGAGTATACACAAGAATTCCGGGCTATTGCCAGCAAACTGAATTGGCCAGAAGACATCCTCCTTAGCCATTTCAAAGACGGACTAAATTATGATCTATATGATGCTTGCCTGCCCCGAGGGGACCCACACCAACTTGAGGAATGGTACATCTTGGCAGAGGAAGCAGAGATCGACATAGTGAAAAGACACTGCCGAGCAAAACAATGGAGCCGCCCCCCGCCTGAGCTGACACACGAACCGGTGAAATCATCGGCTACAGCCAAGAAGCAAATGGGGTGTTTCAAGTGCAGAAGAGAAGGGCATCGAGCTGTAGAATGCCGCTCCAAAGCCCCCCAGCACAACCCAGACAGATCCCCAATCAACAAATCCAGAAAGTCTTCAGCTAAGCCAAAAGAAACGGCCATGAGAATGATGGAAATTGCGGAACCCCCCACTTCTGCTCACCAAGGGGAAAGAACTCCAGCCTACACCGCAGGGCCGGTGGATGCCTCAGATGACAGCTCGGAGGGCGAACCCCTGGTAAGTGGACACATCACACCCATCCTCAAGACAGTGACTATATTAATTCCCCCCATGCCCGAAGCTGTGAAGGTGAAAGCCTTAATAGACTCTGGCTGCACCCGCTGCCTCATTAGCCCAACACTAGTGGGGAATCTGGGCATCCCATCCAGGAGACTGGAACAACCAATCTCATTTGGTCAGTTAGATGGATCCATAGCAGGGGGGGTGCCAGCTACCCTAGCCACTCTACCAATACACCTCTCCCTGGGCAAACATGAGGAGGACATAACGTTTGTGGTGACCCCAGGCATGGAATGCCCAATGATTCTAGGGATGGAATGGTTGAAAAAATGGAACCCTTGGGTAAATTGGAGGACGACAGAAATCAAATTCCCAAAGGGGGACCCTATGGACTTAAAATCCGAAGGGAGGCTACCACAATCAAGAATAGAAAAAGCATCCATAGGAGAGGAAAAAGGATTAACAGAAATACCAGAGGAATATAGAGACCTTGCTGAAGTCTTCAGTGAGGAGAGGGCGAATGAGCTCCCCCCCCACCGACCCACAGACTGTACCATTGAATTCAAGCCTGGGGCAAAACTCCCGAAGCCCAGATTATACTCCATGAGTCCAAAGGAGAAGGAGGAAATGGAAAGATTCATAAAAAAAACCTAGAGAGAGGTTTCATTGAGCCAGCCAAGCCTAAAGTGGCTGCCCCGGTCCTGTTTAGAGAGAAGAAGGATGGCTCTTTACGTTTATGCATGGATTATAGGGCCCTGAATATAATCAGTGAAAGCAACCTATACCCTCTGCCCCTCATGAAAGACATGCTGTCACACCTATCGAAAGGGAAAAATTTTTCTAAACTAGACCTAAGGGAAGCTTACTATCGCGTGAGAATTAAGGAAGGGGACAAATGGAAGACTGCATTTAACTGCCGCATGGGGTGCTATCAATTCAAAGTCTTGCCATTTGGATTACAAGGGGGCCCTGCAGTCTTTATGCAATTAATCAATGACGTTCTAAGGGAGCACCTGTTTAAGGGGGTCCTTGTTTACTTGGACGACATTCTTATCTTCACTGAAACAAAAGAGGAACATGTCAACCTTGTCAGAGCGGTTTTAAAGAAGCTGCGAGCCGCCCACCTATATGCCAAACTCTCAAAATGCAAATTCCACCAGGAAAGGATAGACTACCTAGGTTATTGCATATCCCCCCAGGGCATTGAAATGGACCCAGAGAAGGTCAAAGCAGTATTAGATTGGGCACCACCCCGCACAAGAAAGCAACTACAAAGTTTCCTGGGCTTTGCAAACTTTTACCGCCAATTCATCCCCTCATTTGCCCAGATAGCCTTGCCCCTCACTAACTTACTAAAAACGAAGGGAGCATCCTCAGTAAAACCTAGCCAGCCACTAACATGGACAATGGAGTGCCAAGCAGCGTTTGAGAGACTAAAGAGACTTTTTTCTGCCGAACCAGTACTAAGGCACCCAGACATGGACAAGCCCTTCGTAATACAGGCAGATGCAAGTGATGTGGCAGTGGGGGCTGTTCTATTACAAGAAAATGATGATGGAGTATTGCAACCCTGTGCATATACATCCAAGAAACTCACGGAAACAGAACAGCGCTGGCCCGTATGGGAGAAGGAGGCATATGGAATACATTGGGCATTGCTCACGTGGCGACAGTTCCTGGAAGGCAACAAAATCCCCTTCCAGGTGTGGACTGATCACAAAAATTTGGAAGCCCTGAAAACGCCCAGGAAACTCAATCCCAAACAAGCCCGCTGGTCCCAGCATTTTCACCAGTTCCAATTTAAGACCAAATATTTACCAGGGAGAAAGAACTTCCTGGCAGATGCACTATCTCGCATGCCTCAATATAACAGCGCACGAACCACAGACTCTAAACCAATGATGGCAGAGTCACAACTGGCAGCACCAGTAACCACAAGAACCCAAGCTAAATTAAAACCACAACTGGACAGCCAAACTGGAATTGAATTCAGAAAAAGTTTGGAAACAGACGAATGATTCCAGAAAAACAAAAATGTGTGCACAATGAGAGACGGGTTGCCTTGGGTAGGGGAAAAGTTATATATACCAACAACCCAAAGAGTCACTTTCATGCAGCTTTGCCATGACGCAAAATCAGCAGGGCATTTTGGATTTGTAAAAACTTTACACTTAATTAAACGGCAATTTTGGTGGCCATCAATAAAAAAGGACATAGAAAGTTATGTTGCCAGCTGCCCAACATGTGCATCTGCAAAGAGGTTGCAAGGGAAATCGCCAGGGCTATTACAACCAGTGGCAAATC